GGCCCCGAGCCCCCTGTCAGCTCCGGCCCCGGTTTCGGCCCGAGAACCGGACCCTGCTGTGGGCCTCCCCGCCGCTCGAGGGCCGGCGGAGCCGAGTCCTTGGCGAGGGAGCGGTTGCCCTGGGCTGAGGGCTCGCGGGGTTCCTGGGAGGGACTGAACCCGAACCGTCCCGCGCTGGGGGGCTCACAGAAACCAACCCCTGAGCCTTCTGGGTTTGGAAAGAAGCCTTTTGGTTTCTTTTTTCTATTTGAAGCTCTCACAGGGCTAAACTGAAAGGGTAGACGTACCTACCTGCAGTTTGCTGGTCACTTAACCGTCCTTCTGCTTTATCTTGGTGATATGCCGAGAAGTAAATGCTAAAATTCGTGCAAGGTAGGCAGAACCTTATTTAGAATGTTACGCTTAAAATTGTCTTCTGTTAAATATATTCTCATTGTTAGTATTCAGGGCAAGGGTTGTGTAAAAAGCAGGTTTTTTTCATTGGGGCTATATGGGGCTTTTTTAGAAGCATTTTTTCTTGCTCTCTGAATATATATTACTTTTATTCCAATAAATCAGGCTTAAGAGAACATGCAGAATTTCCTAGCTCTCTATTAACTTGCTTAGAAACCTAAGCAGCCAAATTTTGTTTGACTTCCAAACAGGTATGCACAGCAACAGCCTTGATTTCTGAACAGAGAATGGTGGGTTGTTAACCCCAAAGCTGTTTTAGTGATCCACACTGGAATATAGGAGTAAGCTGTTGTCGCCTTTTGGTGAAGGTATCATGGTGCTTCTCCCAATTCCAGTCTGTCAGCCCCTAGCGAACAGAATCTGTGGTATGACATCGCCCTGAGTACGAGGTTAAAATAACGTGACCGCTAGCCAAGTGAGGGGGATTTCAAGGATATCTTGGCTGTAGGTATCCCAGTTTTTCCCTGGCCGGCAGCTCGCTTTGGAGACCAGCCAAGGGAGTGTTGGAACCTGCCAAAGGAATTGCCACTGATTTTGCCCTTGGCAGCAGGAAAATCGGGCGGTGAACAAGAAGATCTTTGAAGATTCTCAACCCTGTCAGCTGAGAAGGTAGACTGGGGAAAGAGGACTCTGTTTTTACAAGTCCTTTTTTCAGTGTTTTAGGAAGACTTTTTTCCTCTTAACTTGAAGGTGCTGTACTTTCTGGGTTTGGCTTGTACAGCAGCCAGCTTTTTCCCTTGATAGCTGTGTGCCATATCCAGACTTTTCAGTTTTACAGGGATATTAATAACTCAAAATATATTTTGCTGGTTGCAGGCTCCAGCTCTTAACCTCATTTTATTCAAAGACATGTCGTTGATTGCTTCTTAATGTGACAGTTGGGTGCCTTTCCTTAAAACCTCCTTTTGGGGAAAAGAGGTTTAAATGTTTAGTTTAGAAGTTTATATATGTTTAAATAATGAAGCTGTTAAAATAATTTAAAAATAAATCTAAACAAATCTTAACGTGGAGGAATAATAGTACATAATCTGTGTTGCCATGACTTAGCATTTTTGGGTCAGTAACAGTAAGAAAATGTCAGCCTTCAGGGGAGTGTAACTTGGCACTGAAGTCATCTTTATTACAGTATCGTATAGCTGAAAAGAAAGCAGATTTCTTGAGAGAAGAGTGAAATCTGGACCTTTTTGCACATTGCCAGTTGAGAAGGCCTCAAATTCTTGCTGCCATTTCTTCCTTGCTTACTAGAAGTGAAAATGAAACCATTGTTTTACTCGGTGCTGCACGTTTTGTTTTACACAGTTTTATACGTTGGGCTTGTGCCACTGAGCAGATATTTCTTTGTAACTTCACGCTGAAGTATGTTGCCCACTGTGTGCATGGGAAATAGCTTTTATAAAATGGTGTTTAAATAGAAGACAGATGTTTTCTTGTTTGATTTTGTTTCTTTGTGTCCCTTCCTGCAATTTTTTTGCATTTAGAGCTGAGAGGCAAAATGGTCCATGCCGAAGCATTTTCGCGCCCCCTGAGCCGGAATGAAGTGGTGGGATTAATATTTCGTTTAACCATATTTGGTGCTGTGACATATTTTACCATTAAATGGATGGTTGATGCCATTGATCCAACCAGAAAACAAAAAGTAGAAGCTCAGAAGCAGGTAGGATTTTCTTCATGAATATTTCTGTGATGTGTTGCTTTGTTCATTACCACTCGTACAGAGAAATGTGCTAACTGAAAACAGGATTTGCAATAGCAAACAAAAGAATGGACAAAACCATATGGAATAGTAAAAAGGAAGTAGAATTAGTTTTTAGTAAATCTCAGGATCGAGGCTATTAATTGTTTTCAGTGCTTACATCTTATAACAAGTTAGCTTCTAGCTTGAAGTGATGGAAAAACTGATGAACTGGAGCATGACCTTGCCTCCAGTTATCTGCAAGTGTGTGGTCCCAGTGCCGTTCCTGCTTCTGACAACTATACTAAGCAGCAGTCGTGTTAAATACTGCTCTCATCAGCCTCTTGGTTGCTTTTTTAAACCTTGAGCAGAAATAACTTAATTCTCTGCTGTTTTTGGCAGCCGAATGGCAGAGGCAGGGACCGTAGTTATGCATGACAGAGGAGTGCTGCTGTCCAAATGCCTTTTTGAGAATAGCTTGCATTTTGTCACTCTCTTTCAGTTTTCCTCCCACCTCCAGTCACAGTCAAAATGCCCTGGAAAGGGGAGGACAAGGTGAAAAGCCTCTTTCCTTATGCTGCACTAGAATGATTCAGGGGGGGTTAATGCTCTGAGGAAAGATTTAGGTGTGTTTCAGAACCAAAAGTTAAATATTTCCTTTGGAAAGTATTGAGGGAATGTTGCAACTTCTTTTTTTTGTTGTTTTCTAGCTGGCACAAATTTCACAGTTTCAAACAGCAGTTTTGAGCAACCTAATTCTTTTTTACTGAAATCTCTAGTTAAAAAATTGGCCCTGCTTTAAAAATCAGCCCTCAAAATTGGTGCTAGTGCCAGCATGCCAGACTTAACCACAAATTTGGGTACAGAGAGAAACTCAATTTGGGAAGCATGTTGATACAACAAAGGACTTTTCCTTTCAATTTGGGCAAAAGAAAACATTGAATATGTAGGAAAAGTCATTGGATTTCTGTGAATTCTCTTTTTTTTTTTTTTCCTTAAAAGTATATTGATCTCTCCTTGATACAATCCTGTGGAGGTTTTGGGGGCTTGTGCTTTTTATGATAGCAGAGTTATGTCTCCCTATTAAAACATGTATATTATTTGCAGGGTTGTGAATGAAGATAATTAAGCGCGTGAAAGAAATTTAGCGTTCTAACTAATAACAAGTTTCCCAGATTTTCATCTGAATCCTGTACAAAGTTTGTAAGGATTTGTGGGCTGATTTTTGAAGTGCATGTCACAAAGTTGTATCAGCTTTGGAAACTCCTATAGACATTGTGGAAGTGATTTTGTACTGAGGTTACCAGTGCATCTGCAACTCTGTTCTGAACAGCAAGCTGTGTTTTAATGTTTATTTTGGTTGCTTTTCAGGTCGTAATGTATGACTTGTGGATTTGGGGCTGGGAGGGCTGCTATGACACTTTGTTGATGGGAACTGAGACATATGACTTAGTTTCACTCAAGTGACAACAAATCATTAGGAAATAGCAGAACTTTCTACTTCAGAAAGATTTAACCTCTGTTTAGATGTGACTCATGGAGAAGCTTTTCAGACTCCAAAGAGCAGTTCTTTTAAAACTAATTTTGGAATTAAGTGTTCGGTTTCTTCCACTGATTTTCCTGGCGTTTTATTTCCTCAGGCTGAAAAACTAATGAAGCAAATTGGAGTGAAAAATGTCAAGCTTACTGAGTATGAAATGAGTATTGCTGCACACCTCGTAGACCCACTTAGCATGCATGTAAGAAACTGTTTTCTGTGTTACCCTGATGAAAGCACTTCAGACATGGAAGGTCTTAACTTTGGATTGTGTTATTTGTCTCATATCTCTCTATGGAAATACAAAATATTTCATTAATTTAAACCTAAAATTCCATCCTTGAGAGCAGTGTTTTTTTAATCACTTGCCTTATTTATTTTTGAGGCCTTGTGCTGCTTTTAGGCTTGTCCATGTTTTTTCTTGGCGGGGACTGGTGATTTCTAACACTGTTTCTCTGTGTTAGGTAACCTGGAGCGATATTGCAGGCTTAGATGATGTTATAACAGATTTGAAAGACACTGTCATCTTGCCCATCAAGAAGAAATATTTGTTTGAGAATTCCAGGCTTTTACAGCCACCAAAAGGTAGGAGGAGATATTATGGATTTTATATGTTGATATTAGAAGTTAAAAAAGAGCTTGCAATTACCCAGAAAGTGAAGAGGAAGTGGGTTGCCCGTCCAAAGTGCAACCATTAGGAGTGATGCCAGGGAAAACCAGCAGGTTTTTCCTCTGCCCTTGCTGTGAAATCAAGTTCTAATGAATAATGAAGCAACAATTTCGTTTCAGTTATTGATATTACTTTTTGGTGTGCTAATCCTGCACTTTTAGCCATCTAAATTCTCAGTTGTTTTTAATTCTTATACCCCATCTTGTCCTTTGGCAGGGTGAGCTGGAACTCTGCTGTGCAGTTTTGTACATTTGGTTAAAATCTTTGCAGTGTAGAGAAACCAAAGTCATAAACACGAGACATCAGTGTAAGTCAATCTTGCAGCCTCTCTCTGTTCTGGAAATTCCAATCATTCAAAGAGACAGAGGTCCCATTTTTTTTTTTCTGGAGATATCTTGATTTTCTCTGGAGTTGAGTTGAACAGTGTTGAGGCAGTAAGGAAACCAACGGGTGACAAATTGACTTTCCAACAGTAAACCAGAAGTTGGACTCTGCTGGAATGCTTACAGCCATATTTGCTCTGTTACTGCAAATAAGCAGAATTTGAACCTAAAATGTTGGACAAAATGCCAAAGTTTACCTTTCCTGGTCCCTGGAATACCGTCTTCTGAAAACTCTTGCTTATTACCTGTATCTGTGACCATCTCAGTCTTGTGTCCTAAGTGATGGAAAATGAAGTACTTCTGTGACTGGCTTGGTTTTTCCTGGCTCCTTTCTGTTTAAGTCACAAATTGAAACTGTCTAGAAAATTACTTGAATGTCATGTTCTAATAAGCTGAAGGAAAAAATTATTTTTGAGTTTAGCTTTTTAAAGGAGACTTTCCATATAGGGCAGTCTCCCTACTTTTATTGCACTGTGTGTTAATAGGAAGTTGTTGTTTCAGAGTAATTATGTTTGTGGTCATTAGTCACAGAACCAGAAAAATAGACCCTACTAATTCTCTGTTGTTTCAGGGTTGACTTAATGCTTTTTCTTTAAATTGTTTTCTTTACATTCATGTTAGCAAAACACTATTGTGAATTCTTTCACTATGACAAGTTTAAAAATGAGATGTCACTTAGTTGTGGGCAATTTGTTGAAAATGTTTGTGGGCTCCTTTTTTTATTATCTTTTTTTTTCCTCCCCCCTGTTTTTATTAGCAAGTCTAAAAGTGGCTGTAAAAGAGGCCTGTCAAACGCTTACAGGAAGGAAACAGGGATTTAGTTTTACGTAACCTCCATAGTCACAGTGACAAACCAGTCATCTTTCAGTCAAATGTCTCCCTTCAGTTTCACCATGCCTGTTCTTCGATATTCTTAGCTTTAGTTTTATAATGTCTTCAATAACTCTGGCTTGACGCAACACTCGGTAACTTGGTTTCTTGCCCTTTAAAGCTGGGCTAAGGTGCAGGCCTGGACACTGAGGTGTGTGGTACTAAAGCGTGTTCTCTGCGTGGGGAGCAGGGAGCAGTAACTCGGCTGCTTTTCCAGGGGTCCTTCTCTACGGCCCGCCCGGCTGCGGCAAAACGCTGATCGCCAAGGCCACGGCCAAGGAGGCCGGCTGCCGATTCATCAACCTCCAGCCTTCGACGCTGACCGACAAGTGGTACGGAGAGTCCCAGAAGCTGGCTGCTGCCGTCTTCTCCCTGGCCATAAAGCTCCAACCGTCCATCATTTTTATCGACGAAATAGGTAAATAAATAATCGATCGGTGTTTTGGTAAGCAGCTGAGCAGAGTGACATTAAACTGGGGGTTCAGGTTGATGGGTGATTGATCTGCTGCCATCTTTTCCTTGGAAAGAGCGATAATGGCACAAGGTAATATGAATAGTATTGTAAAGTAATGGTGGCAGGTGAGGAAATAGAGTGTTTTCCTACTTCCTATTATTGGAGGAAATTAGTGGTAGAACAAGTTGCTGTTCATTTTTGGCTGGGCTACAGTGGATCAGGAGGAAAGCTTTTCTTCTGTCAAGGGAATTACTTATGCAGGAAGCCCGTCACCAAATACACCTCAATGCTTCTGCTGTGAGGACATGTAACGGAAAATAAAATAGGGGTTTAGGAGAGCTCAGGAGTAATAGTTTAGTAAGGGTGGAGAAGTGGGAGGGGAAGCTCAGCTAGGGAGACAGCAACAGCGCTGGTTGTTCAGGGCATTTGGACTTGTCACGATAGTCCCTGTGAACTTGAGCAGTTCAGTTCCAGCTGCTTGTTGTCTCTTGGAGCCAGTTGTGCACTTTGCAGAAACAGCCTGACGAGGATTTTACTCTTTCTCCATCTTAGGCTTGTGACTTAAGATGCATTTTGTCCTTTAGTACAGGTGTGAAAAATGTTGTGTTTTTCTAGCTATGGGAAATCCCTTAGGCAGCCACTAACAGAGTTAGAGCTCTGCCCAACAAAGTGGGTAGCCTGCTTCACAGCAGTCCTGCAGCTCCCTGTTCTCCTGTGCTTTGGTGTCTTCTAGCTTGCCAGAGTCTGAGTGCTTCAATCTCTGCATGAGAAATTAAGGTGAAATTTAAACTTTCTGTAAAGTCAGGAAAGTGAGAGTTTGGAGCATGAGGTTTGGAACAAGTCTCTTGTGATAGGCACATAGTTGTGTAAAGTAATTTAAAAGATGTGCTTAAAAATGTGGAGAGGTTTCACTTTCCTGTTCTTCACTGCAAGAAATAATTTTCATTTGTCAACAAACTTTATTAAAAATATAAGGTAGAGAATAGCAGAAATCTGCCCATAAGAAATGGACCAGCATAGTGGCAGGACTGAAAGTAAACTGCCTTTCTGAATCCTCTAACACAGATTCCTTCTTACGAAGTCGATCCAGTTCTGACCATGAAGCTACAGCCATGATGAAAGCTCAGTTCATGAGCCTGTGGGACGGGCTGGACACCGACTACAACTGCCAAGTAAGCACCAAGGGTGGTGAGGAAAGTAACGTGGTTCTTGTGCATGGAGCCATTTGGGAAGAGCAGCAGATTACACGTGGGAATAATTGCCAAAAGAGTTTCTTTACCTGTCAGTGTTAGGGATTACCAGTGTATTATGGGAATGAGGTGAGTTCTATTAATAGGTCATTTTTCTTCTTGAGAAAATGGTTTTGTAGGTATTTTGGTTTTAGCAAAGAGGTGTTATTTTCAGAAGCATCTTAAGTCTCAGTAATACAGCTGTATAGTTTGAGCTGCCAAAATTGGGAATTTTAAAACTGTTCTAAAAATCATTTTGTCAATAATATTTTCTTCAGGTGAAGTGAATCTTTGATTTCAGGAACAGCTTTGAAAGATCTGAGTATTCATCCCAGTTGCAGGTTGGTTGGTTGGTCTCCAGAAAAGCATTAGGCTAGTGTTAGACAAGCACTAGACTCTGGAGTTCTGAAAGGGTGGAGAAATTTATGTTATCAAAAGACAAATTCTGTTAAATGGAGCCATGCTTCCATCCTGTTATTCCTACATTTCTGTTCCCCTCCCATAATCTCAACAGAATAATTTATATTTTGGAGTGGGAAAAAAAATAGAAAAGCTGCTGGTGCTGTAAAAGCAGACAAAAAACATTTGTGAAATAGATTACTTCAACGTAGCATAGACAAAACCCTGCCTGGTATGTTCCTGAACTGTCACCTGGAACAATCTTTTTAAGGCCTTTAAAAAGTATGTTTATTCTCAAATTCTAAAATTTTCAGCCTTTTTAGTCTGTTGGTTTTTTGTTTGTTTGTGAGTAGCTTCCTGACCTCTCTGACCTCCATTAGTTCTCTGTAAAATCTGCTTTTCCCTCTCTTTCAAGCTTGCACTGAAGATTTTTTTTTTTTAGTTGATTTTTTGTTTTTAATGATTAGAACGCAGTGATACATACACTGAAGAGCTCTAAAGCAGAGTGTTTGCTTACCATGACTAAGAGGCCAGTGGTATGAACACTTAACTGGGAGCTAATATGATCTTGCAAGCACATATTTCTTCCAGCATTTGACTATATTATCTCTTTTTCATGATACACAGACAACTTCTTGGAGCAAGTCAAACTGCAGTAAGATAATGTGTGGTCTTGCCCATCCCTCTGGTTCAGCATAACAATTAACTCTTGTCCTTCGCCCATGTGCCTCTGCAGGGTAGGCAGCCCCTAAGGTCAACCACAATGCAGGCAGTTGGCTGGAGACACAGCAGGGGCTCCTTCAGGGTTCTGGGAGTTTTTCATTTCAGGCTCCTCACTGGGGTGTCGTTGCCATTCAGGAAGTGTTCCTTGAGCGATGGTTTTGACATTTGCATTGTCCCTTGTTTTGACAGCCAGCTCTCTGGGCTCTTCTGTTAATTACAGATGTTGACTTTGGGAGCTTTAGGTTGCTTGTCTGCTTATTGCCAAACAAATTTCCTTTGAATAAGGATTGAATTTGGCTTTTGTTACAGTAAACAAAAATTTAAAATGCTAGGAGAATCTTGTAAGTGTTGTGATTAATGTTAGTTGTTCTGTGTTGATGGCACCAGAAAAGCATGTTCAGCTTTGGGCTCAACCTGCAAAGGATATAGTCTTGAGCCTGGCAGGAACTTGGGCCACAGTGCCTGGAAAACAGAGCTGTGCTGCTGGAAGGGACAGTTCAAATCTGGCAGCCCAGTGCAGCTGCGTTTGTGCTCTCGGGGTTCCCACATTCACAAAACCTGCAGACAGAGCTGGTTTTAGGAAGGCTCCTCATCTCCAGGAGTGCAGAGGGAGCAATATGTTGGGTCCACCACTGGGCTTTGATACAGACTCTAGGGAAACACAGCATGGGCGCTGCAAGAGGCAGCTCAGACAATTGTTAGCCTGTGCTTGTGTTATCACAGAATCCCAGCATAGTGAGGGTTGGAAGGCGCCTCCGGAGATCATCTTCTCCAACCCCCCTGCTCCAGCAGGGTCACCCAGTGCAGGCTGCCCAGTATCATGCCCAGGTGGGGTTGGAATCCCTCCAGAGGAGGAGATTCCACAGCCTCTCTGGGCAGCCTGGACCTCTCACAGAAAAGAGTTTTCTTCTCATGTTCAGGTGGAAGCTCCTGGGTTCCAGGCTGTGCCCATTGCCCCTTGTCCTGTCGCTGGGCACCACTGACAAGAGCCTGGCCCCAGCCTCTTGCCCCCCCACCCTTTAGCTATTGATCAGCATTGATCAGATCCCCTCTCAGTCTTATCTTCTCCAGGCTAAACGGCCTCAGGGCTCTCAGCCTTTCCTTCTCACAGAGATGCTCCAGGCCTTTCAGCTTCCCGGTAGCCTCCTCTGGACTATCCCCAGTAGTTCCTTGTCTCTTGAACTGGGGAGCCAAGAACTGGACATACGTCACGCTTTCTAGAAGGCAGAGACTGCCAGAGCCCTGGTGAAAAATGCACCTTTGGGCTTTTTCTGTGTGGAGCAATTTGGCACCGTGTAATAAAGCCTCTAGGTGGCAGGGTGGCTCTGCTTGGGGACAACAACCCAGCCTGGCCAAGGGCTGCTGGAGCTGCCAGGGCTGGCTGCGGAACACTGACCCCAGACAAAAGACCCAGAAGCACGTCAGGAAACTGTATGGATAGGAGATTAATTTCACTGCCGTTTTTCACTTTGGTGACTGGGTATTTACAATGTACATAATTTACAATAACAAATGAGAAAACAAGGCTGATGTGAATGGGAAGTAAATTTGTTCTTAAACTAATAACTGGAACGCACTCAAATGAGGTAAATTTCTTGTATTGGGCTTGGCTGGTATGTATCTAAAGTGCTGCTGTTACAGTGCACCACTACATATAGATTCTCACTGGCTTTTAATTTTTTTTTTTAATGCTTGAAAAAAAAGTAAACAGCATTTTAATGCATGTGAAAGCTGCCAGTTTGGTCGTCCTAGTGAACTGATTGCCTTTTTTTTTAACACAGCACAAAAATGCGACATTTTTTAATACCTTATCAAAAAGTGTCCTTTCAAGTTCCTTCCAGATCACCAGGAACTAAAGAAGCATTGCCACAACTTAGAAGGAGAAGTTTCGGGTTACTGCTTAGGGTTTGAACTTTGAAATTTGGCTTGGAAGGCTTCAGACTAATGTAAAAATCTCCACCCAGAGAAGCAGAAGTCTTTGGTTACTGCATAGCATTTGAACTTTGAAACTGGGCTCAGAAGACTTCAGACTAATCTAGAAATCTCCACCCAGATGGTGCTCTGTGGCACTGATGGTCTCTTAAGCTGCCTGTTTAAATCCCATGGATGAAATCAGTACCAAGGAACCTTATGTAACTTCTTTAAATGTTGATGTTCTTGATAAAGCGTGAAAGAGTCACATGCTTGGTGTTGAAACTCCAATACGGCGATGTTTTCAAAAGCTGGCTCCAGGCTGACTAGATTTATCTGTTGGTGTGTGCAGGTAATAGTGATGGGAGCCACCAACCGTCCTCAGGATCTGGACTCTGCGATCATGAGGAGAATGCCGACCCGCTTTCACATCAACCAGCCCGTAAGTCACGCCGGCTCTGCCCAGCTGCAGGCAGCTGCCTGTCAGCCAGGAAATGCACGTCTCTGGTTTTGGGGGTTTGGGTGGTTTTGTTTTCTTTTTTAAGGAAACACTGTATAAAATCAGATTCTGATCTGATTTTAGCTTTTTAGAAGCTCATGCATAACTTGACCTTTTAAGGTGAAATTTCTCACAGAAGTCTTGATTCCTTGGGTTTTATCTGAAACGGCTCCATGTGCACTGAGACCTTCCCACCCATTTTCTTCATCTGTAAGAATGGGATGGATTAGATGCTGCGCTCTGGCAAGAGCTTAGTTTTAACTTGAAAACAGCCCCCAAAAGCACAGAAATGACTGCACACACTTGCCTGTGCGGGAGAGCAGTGCCCAGGTTGGATGGTGTCAAGGAGTAGGTGCACACTGACTGCCATTTACACCTCTTGATGCACAGCATTTAGTTCTGGAGGAGGGGCATCCGCATGCCAAAGCCTGCATTCTTCTCAGGCCCTTCCACAGCCAGGCACTGCAAGCAGGCTGGAAAACTGGTTTTATTCTGCTGATGATTAGTGCCAAACAGACACTGATTAAGATCTTTATCAGTTATGCCAGCCATCACAAGGTTACCCTTACTATATATTTTGCCATTCCCATCCTTTCCAAGGCATTTTAGTTGCCTTTAAACACTTGGTGATATCACAAGACATTTCTATAGCGATTTTTATAAAGACTTCAGTCATGGCTGTCAGCATTCCCTTCTGGCTACAAGAACACCCTTCATCATTCATTTATGTTGCAGAAATGTAGAGACAAAAGTGGAGGAGTAGAACTCTTACTGATTGTGCAAGAGACTGCTGGTGTTCCCAGACCCATCTTGTTTGATCTGGCTTTCACTCCTTGTGGGTGGGTGCTTTTCGATACCAGGCATTTCTAACTTAGCCACTGCTTTTCTGCAGTGCCCCCCATCTTAAAGTTTTCTTTGAACTAGTAAGGGACAAGGATGTGTATTTTGGTACTTTATCACCTCTTTCTAACGAGAACCGTTGTTAGAAGGGTGAATTATCCTCAAGTAACGGTGCCTCAGGGTATTACAGGGGTTGGTGTCCTCTCCCAAGGTCAGAATTACAGGAGGTGTCATTTTAGGGCACAGTCACCCTTACCCAGCTACAGTCATCTTATTTTGTGTTCTTGTCTGTGACACTTTGCCATACAACCAAGATGGGTTCCAACTTATTGAGGGCTGAGGTAATTTGTGTGCTGTGGAGTGGTGCCCAGATGGTATCGCTGCAGAGTCACTAAGGTCTTGCAGGTTTTATAATAGAGTTATAGATTAAAATGCCCGAATTGACTCCTAACAAATTACCTGGAAAGCAGAGGGAAATGGAAGAAGTATTTCTGGAGATGGAGTATCAACTGTTCAGCTGCCTGTCTATGTTTTTTTCCCTTTCTAACAATGAAATTGTATTTAGATCAAGTTTGGGTTTGGGAGGCACAAAAAAGTCACTGCTGCTTGTGTTTTACCCTGCTATTAAGGATATGCTCAGAACTTAATGGTCTCTTTCAAGAACCTCATCACGGTATGTGATTTATATCACTTACAATTCCCCAAGCATCATCTGTAGAATTACATTTGTTACTTTTTTTTTTTTT